TCTTGGTTTGCACTGCCTATAAATTCCTATTCCTGGCTTATTTCAAACTATATGCTTAGTCATGAGCTTTTCTACAGACAGAGACCATGAAGGAACGAGCCTCTTACAAAGAAAGCCTGGGAGATTCCCAGCTGCCCGGGCTGAAAGGCATTTCCCGCTGTTACGCATAACCTCTATCGGCATTTCAGTACGGACCAATTGTCACAACAAGGACTTGCAGCCCAGAGATCTATAAATAAAGACTTGTGCCCGATCTTTGCCTTTTAATCACAGAATCCGCTCAAAGGGCTGTGGCATATATTCAAAGGAAAAGGTCTGTAAGGCAAAACTCTGGAAAATCTATATGACGACTGCACTCCGGGTTTAACAAAAACGGCAAATAAAACACACTTTATGGAAAATCCGTAGCTGTGTTGTACTGATGACTAGAAGTACGCAGAAGTGCTAAGTGATCTGCAGATACCTCCCAGGGCAGCCCGTCCATGTGCAAAGGCCTTCTGAGCTAGACATTTTTCAAGTGGGACAAGCATTTCTTTTTATTTAGCAAGGGGGACAAGAGGGTAGGTTAACAGGTTTGACAATAAAAACTTTGGATCACAAAATGCGTATTCTTTGAGAAAGATTAAATTCAGACCTGGATCCGTCTCTGGTGCTTGGGTTCATTTTGTTAACAAAATAAGAATGTATCCCAAACGAGTCATTCAACAAGAGGTGAAGTACTCCCCTTCTTGCAATGACTTCCTCTGGCTCTGATCAGGGGTCATTAAAGTAGTGAGATCTGAGGGACCTCTTATCATATGTGAGTTCAATAATTTTTTTTTTTCAAATTGCCTCTATAAAGCCTTTTTCTTTAGTGCCACAATCTCCCTCATGTAAAAAGTCTAAAAATGGCAGCTGCTTCTGTTTTCACTACAGTATAGTTTCCATAGTCATATCAATGTACTTTTATATGCATACATGGCAATTTAATTCTATAGAATGCTTGAAGAATGAACTGCAGTGCTATGATTGTCCTGATCCTGGTTTTGAGGCTCTAAAGCAGCCAGAAAATAAAAAAAAACCCCAAACCCTCAGCAAGTGCCAGATCTCTCTCCCCAGCAGAATGGGCCAGCCGTGGGGAAGGGATGCAGAGCTAGTGCCTTGTGCATCTGCACACACACACATTAGGTCATTTGTGAGTGCAAAATTCTGCCCATGTAACTTTTTATGTGTTCTACCTATTGAACAGACCTTTGGGAAGGCAGTTCGGTGAAACCCGTGAAAATCAAAGGATACTCAGAGCGCAGTCTCTGTCTGTCCAAGTTTCATCCTGCAACCCAGCCTGAGTGAAGATGAGCCTCACTAAAGCGAACGCTTCTCCCACCTACTACTTGCTCATGGAAAAGGAGAGAAAAGAGCCTCAGATGACAGGACAGGAAGAGCTCGGAGAGATGCAAGATCAGCCTAATGACAAGAGCGCCTTTCTCAGAGAACTGCACCGTCCTCTGGCCACTGGCCCTGTGCAGGAGGCGCCCCTCTGCCCCGGCCGCGCTGGGCTGGCAGCGGGCGGTGGCAGCCACAGCAAAGCCGCCCGCGGCGCGGGTGGGCAGTCACGGTGTGAGCCTGCAGAATTATGTGCACGAGCACTTGTTCGTCAGAGGGCACCAGAGGATTTTGGTTTTTCCTGGCTGCATGCTAAAGGCAGCTTTCCCTTCTGAACAGGCAGTGCTGTGTCCCCGACATCTGAATCCCGCATATTTAATGCCGGAGCCCAAGTTTAGTGGGCAGCAGTACCGAGGACTCACACAATGCTCAGGATGGGACTAATCTTGCCAAAGCTGCGAATTGGGAGGTTTAATTTTACCCAGTGAGGAATCTCAGTGGAGAGACTCATGTAAGCAAAAATGTGCACGGGCATGCAGATCTGCAGAATTAAGGCTTTCATACGAGTTATAAACATACATCTGGGGGTCTTAATATTTATGAAGCACCTCAAATTCCCAAGGCATTTCACAGGTTATATATACAAAGAATATTGTCAGTTAGGTCCTGCTTTAGAAAACATTTCCATTTGACACAGGGGCTTAATTATGCTTATAAAAGACCTGATGAAAATAACGTGATTTTGGTACAAGTCCAAAATCAGTCTTAAGTGCTTTTCTGAAGGACGGAATAAAACATTTACTTAAGTGCTTTCCTAAGTTCTGGCTTCAGTGATGTGTAACCTGGCTTTGCACTCGTTATCGCTTAACAGTGCTCAGAGCTGTAGAACACCTGAGGACAGGGACGGAAAAACATCTTTCCTGAGCGAAACTGCAGGTGGAACTGGGAAAACAAAAGCAGAAAGTCTCCTGGCCCAGATTTGCTGGGATGCCTCTTCTGAAAGACCACAGTATGGCGATATGTAAAAACGTCTCACCCAGCCTAGCACCCTGCCTCTGCCAGTGGCCACCTGTGGACCCCGAGGGACCACATCTGGTATGGGATACTTAGGAAAAGAGCATGCACACTGCGATCCCTCTCCAAAATCCTTCACTAACTCCTAGAAATACGGGCAGGGTCTTAGTTACCATCTATGTGATGCCCCTTTGAGCACAGCTCCCTTTAATGATTTTGCTAGGCAAAGGACCCAGTTCAGTATCAGCTGGGAGTTTCACCTCCTGCCTTGCTTTTCCACAGACCTTGCTTGCTCTGCTGTGGGTGACTCCACTATGGCAACAGATTATTGGTCAATCTATCCATTGAGGTTAACTTAGTTAAGTTTGTGAAATAAAACAAGACTTTGCGACAGCTCCTCTGAAACCCAAACAGTTTGGCCAGGAGTTTTTTGTCTGTGTGCTGGCCTGCAGTGGGTGGATGTTAAAGGATCACTGACAACTCGGACATCATGTTTGTGGTGTTCCTGTGACATGTAGCACCCAGGCTCCAGCGCTAGAGAAGAAATTGTACCAGTGTGTGTACTTTCCACAGGGAGACCTGACTGTGTATGACCAGCTTCATTCTTTCCCCTGCAGTCATTTGAGACGAATTTCATTCCCGTGTGAAGGGCCAGTGTTTGGTGTAAGCACCACTTAAATCCCATTTCAGCATTATTTCCAGAGCTTAAGTGGAGCTGATGTGGTACCTTGTGCAAACTCTCTTGCGTAGGGGTGAATTTCAGCATCGGTTGCCCTGACGCTGTGGACCTTTCCCATAACACCAAGGAACAGAGAAGACATTAAAGAATGAGGAAGAGACGATTACAGAACCACAAATATTGGCAAGACTGACCTAGCTGCACCCTCTGGAACGATCTCTAACTTTCTTTTTAAACCAAGCAGATTTCCAGCTGCCTGCATCTCTTTAATTAAAAAGAGATGTCCTTTCAAATAGCTTATAAAAAGGTAACGGCACATTTCCAGATCGTGGTTTTGAAGGATGATTAGCCTGTGCTCCTTTGCCTCAAAGTTACCCTGCAATTTAGGGACTAAGAACATAAAAAAAATTAAGCTATAAAATGAACTGAGTTCTAACTGGACCGAAAAGCGTGGAGTATAATTTTTCCTTCTTCCTGTACTAAAGAAGCAAGGCAGCCAGAATTTTAGGGATAGTTCTAAACACATTTTTTCCTGAATAAGATCTGACAAACCAAATTTTGGCTGGAAGTTGGTTTCCACATCTAACGAGTAAACCCACAAGGAGATTAAACGCAGCAAGAACCCTAATAGTTGCATTTTGAGATGCTGCCATGACACCCTCAAGTCAAGATGTTTGACCTCTCCATGAAATTTTGATGTAAGATGAATTGTTGATTCTATGGACTTACCCAGGAGGCAGTAATGTGATTCAAATCATCTGACTGTCAACAGAAACCATTTACTCTTGTATAACAGTACGCTAAAAACGCTTCTTCACAGTTGAGTATTTTGACTGAAAAACGAAATCGTACACCGAACAGGTAACAATAAGCTTTTCCCTGGAAAGCAGAGCTCAGGATGAATGAAATAATAATCACAGGTCATTATTATTTAGGTGTTTTGATTTATGTTAGTTCTGTTTATTTGCAAATTCCCTCCCCTCTACCCAAAATATTTGGTATATATATCTACATACAAATTGCAAGTATTCCATTATGCTTGGGACAGTGTTGACAGGGACTCTGGAGGGCAACGAACCACCTGAACTCTTGTGTTTGATAACAAGCAGGCAAAACCTGCCATCAAAACAAGCAGCAAAACGCACTCAGAAAAAAAGCCAAAACGAATCAGGAAGTAAACATTTCAACCAGCTGCTTGCTTCATTAGCCATTTCTGACACTGATACCAGCATCTCCAGACCCTTTCTAAGAATATTCTTGTCATCCGCGTAATGCACAGCTGTTAACAAGCAGCCTCTGGAAACCTCTCAAGACACTCCTTTAGCCTACCGGTCAGATTTTGGTCTGTAGAATTAAGAAAAGACATGACGTTATACTAGATCTTCTTTTCCAGCTACTGAATTGTGACTTGAAGGAAGGCCATTAACGTACTGACAACTGCTAATAGCATAAAATATAGCAAAGGACTACAAGGACGGAGTGAAGCTTTAAGCTTTTCTTTCTCTCCTTCACACTGTACGACACTTGTCTAGAACAGAGCTCTAAGTAAAAGCCAACATAATGCAGTTTTAACCCAAACCTCAGCAATCTCTGTTAATTCAGAGCTCTCTTACAAATAAAAGCCTTCAGAATATACCATTTCCACTTAATGAAAGCAGGCTTCACATTAAATGCAGGGTGCTGGTGCACTATCCTTCTGAAGCCATATGTACTTCATGCAGAAACAACAAGGCAATGATAAATCCCGGAGTCAGATCATGAAGTGACCAGTGAACGGGAATTCAGATTTCTGGATTGAACTCTTGAAAAAGCTGGGGTCAGTCAACAAAAACAGAGTGTCCAACCATAACAAACTATAAACAAACAAACAAACATAACAAACATACATCTTAAAAAAAAAAAAGAAACAAAACCCCGATTGAGCAAGTGTAGAAAACACTCAAGCTGTCATTTCAGTTGCGTGTTTATGAGCCACTGAAGAGTTACATGACTGCTCTCAAGCTCGTGGGTAAACTGGAAGCATTCGTCTCCCATGTGAACAAAATGAACGTATGTAGATGATGAAACTGCATCCAGGCAGACACAACTGTTGCTATTGCTTTTCGTGACCATCTCAGAATGGAGTGTGCAGGAGTGACAGTGCTCTGGAGGCATGTGCATGACTGGTCCAAATCCTAGAATCACCTGACTCGGTCCCTCCCTGTGGCCCTCCCCTGTAGTTTAGTGTTGGATCCCTGTTTGTTTTTCAAGACTTCACCTCTTCGCAGTCTTGATCAGTGGAAAGCTCCACATCGGACAGTCCAACCTCCATTGCCATAATCAATGAAATATCTGAATCACTGCTGACTGCTGGCTCCTGTTCATCTGTGAGGGTAGAAAAGACAGGAAAAGGGCATTATGGTCACGTCTTTCTGTCAATGTATTACTATTTTTTAGTTCTGCAGATGGGACCCAGAGGTTTCTCCACCACTGTGGTTGTGCTTATATTCCAAACTTTGCTCTTATTCAATATCTGTCTAAAGCATTTCAAAAATGTCAGCAAGTTCAAGCCATCAGTAGTGAGAAACACGATGACAAGGAGCCTGGATGGGTAACACTTTCTTCTGCTCCTAATCCTCCCAGGGCTCTCCATCCAGGCCCTTCATCTCCATGGCCTTCCTGCCACCGCCTGAGCACTTCCCTCCCCGTCCCCTTTCACTTCCTCAACGTGGCATCATCCTACTCTCCCCACAAAGGCAGCAAGTTAAGGACAAAGTCACAGGCACCTGGTGGAGCAAGTCGGCCATCAGGAAAACATTTCTAACACGAAAAAAAAATCTGCCCAAACCCTCATTAGGTGACAGAATCTCTGTAGCGGAGACTTGTAAGAGGGCACTAGGCTAATGTCTGGAAGGAGCAACACGGGTGTCATTAGTTCTGCCCCAGGACTCAGGACCAGGCTACCTGCCTTCTCAGGTGCCTTCTCTCACCCTTTTCCAGTCTCTTTTCTATTCACCCTTTTCTTTCATCAAGATACCTTGGCAGGTTCTTGATCCAGGCCGGAGGGATCTACCTTAATCCACCATGATCCCAAATACAGTAAGAGTCAGATTATTGACTTTTGCCAAACTGCAAATCCCATCAAAACTACAAGCGTAGGAGGAGTAACTTGTTTTTGTTTTGATCCCACAGCACTTACTACATGTGTGTTTAGTTGCAGATAAAGCCAACAGATTTTAAAGGACTAAAAGCTAATTTTATTTCAAGAACAATCCGGAGAAGCAAAGCACGCTGCATCTCTGGGGAGATTTTCAAAGCACAAAAATCCCATAGGTGGCTGAGTCCCTGAGAGAAAAAGTTGGTGGTTCATATTTTCAAGTGGTTTAATTACAATGATGATATTTATACTGTAACAATACAATGTATTTAAATCTGTGGCAGTTTTTTTGTATTTAAATCTGTGGCAGGATTAGACCTCATGTTTTGTGGGGAAAGTTTGAGTGGGGTCTGCATTATTCAAACTGAAAGAGCCAGTGCTTTACAACCCTTCCCAATTTTCATCCTGGATTATTTTTATACTTTCTTGATTGCAAGATAAATAATTAATGCACACAGCCTCTTTATATCTGTATATCTTTTTTCCTATTAATATGACAGTAGTAAAACACTTCAAGGCATTGCTTCTGACTATAAATGTTTCCACTGGAGGTGGAGGAAGTACTTACAAACTGAATGATATCTCCTGCAGACTTCAGTGGGCTTCAATTACATTGAACCATTAGGTGAACTGCTAGATCCAAGAGTACAGCATCACAGACACCTCCAAGACCTAAAGCATCATCTGTAGTGGTAATAGCTCCCTGAGCCAGAACGATGTGGTTCCAGACCACCGGATTATTTATCATTCCTCTATAACTAATAGGATTCTTAAAAAGAATGATCAGGATGCTTTAAATGTTGACCTAAGAGCAAGTTTATATTTGCATGACAGAGTTCCTGAGGCTTAGCTGTGTTAAACAGCCGCTTGGAGCACTCTTGAAAGAAAAGTGATTTTCATCTGAACTAGCTCTGCAGGAAAGAACGACTGGCTGAATGGTGACAGCCACACGCATGCTGAAGAGGCAGGCTGAGCTGCCAACGCTAAATGTCAGAGCGTCAAATGAGAAGTGTTTATGGTGCTGAAATGTTATTTCAAGAATTGTTGTTTCTTCTAGGGTTGCACAGCAGAAAAAGATCTCAGCTGAGTTCAAGACAGGCAGATAGAACAGAAGGAGATTTACAGCTCATCTACCAACTGCCTAACCTATGTACAGGAGCACCCGCTTTCTAAACCAGCAAGCTTGAGTTTTACATTATAAATCCTATACAATTATTCAAATTCTTGGATCGTTGTCTTTCCAAAGTGTGGGCTTTGTAGTTTGTCTTCTTTGGGACTGAAGTGCAGGTCAACAGGAACAATGAACAAAGGATCCTAAAAATGCCCAGGCCTATGCCCTGGCATTGCTTTTCCAGCGCTGCGAAAGTGGCTAGAGACATGAACGGTCCACCTTCCTTGCTTGCTAACAGTGCAACGGTTCAAAATCCTAAAGCTACATCCTGCCACTTCAGCAGAGGGGGGAGAAAAACTCGGACATCACCATCCCTTACACCTTCCCTTTCAGGGAAGGGGTCAGCACTGACATTTCTTTGGAAGATGCAGACAACACAAGGGAATTAATGCATCCCTCAGCATTACATGCTTGCTCTTGTAAACAGGAGTCCTACTACTGACTCCAGCATGCACAGGATGAAACTCTGGGAGGCTGCAGAAGTTACACCAGATACGGATCGGCTGTAGGTAACTCTGGCTGTAAGCTCTACAGACTGCCTCACCGTGGCCCCCCCACAGAACACAGGCTTTCTAGACTGCGGTGGTTTTTTTTTTTTTGGCTGGCTGCTCAATAACGTGAGCCAGCACAGTGAGTGGCATTTGTTAAAGGTAAGCAAACCTCAACTAAACTGCAAGTGCCAGGAGCTTAGCCTGCATTTTGCATCCCTGGTTTTTAGATCCTATGTACAATGACAAAGCTTATACAATCACACAGCTTCTACAGAAGATGCCTGACTCACCGTTAAGAACTTTTATGACCTTTTTGCAAGTTTTTTGAAATTTGGTGTTTTTCTTAAAGCCCTGAAGTCAGGTGAGGATCTCAACTTTCAGTGAAGATCTCAGCTTTCACTTAAAAAGAAATTAATCTTAAGAAGTAAAAAGGAAATAAAGAGTTTAAAAAAACATATCCCTAATTTCTAGATAGATTTTATGTTGGAATAGATGACTTGTGATTTTAGATGTTTGGGGTTGGCAATCCTGTCTAACAACATACACTGTAATACTTCCACTGTGTTTTATAGCACTTCATGCCACAGGCATAAAGCCTTTTGCTTAATGAAGCAAAAGGCACATCCCAAGCTGCTTTTCAGCCTGAGTGCTAGTGCCTACAGCAGGCAACTGTAGACCTCACTGCCACATTCCTCTCATGTCAGCGAAACGCAATACACCACAGCACGCTGCCTACTTCCAGACAGACTTTTTCCACTCGGTTATATTCCCTGACACACATTCGTTTGAGAGGTGCAATAAAACAAATTCCTTCTCTAGCCAATATTACTTTAAATTTAATTATGCTAATGCAGGAAGAGTATCAACCACATAGATATGGGACTGCCCTACATAATAGTGGTACAGCCCTTACTTGTTGCAAAGTTCATTAAGTGATATTTATATTTGAGTATAATTGCAATCAAACAAGGATGAAAACAGCTAATTACTCTGGTGCTTTAAAAACAGTAAGACTGCACACTAGTAATAGTTATCTACTCCTGCTGCTACTCCTAACACTGAGTAAGTCTGTAGCTGTTGTACACTAATAAATATTCCAAAAGAAAAAGGTCAGATGATGGGTTTCCAAGAATTTGATACTGTTTGCAAGAGTCTTGGGAGGGACCTAAGCATTCAACAGTGAGTGAAAAGTGCATTTACAAGAACATTCATCTGCCATCTGTAGGTAAGCATACAGGCATGGGCACAAATCGAGATATACTTGTAACGACCCACTCAAGGATGAGGAACAAGCTGATATAACTGTGGTGGGTTTTGCACTCATGGAGGCCTCACTCCTGCTCACCACTGTGGTCCTCCCAAGGAGGCCACATCCGACACTGTGCTCTGATGTCCCTAGGACATGGGCAGTGCCATGAGGCTCTCTTAAAATTGCTCCTGCTTGCCCCAGAGGTTGAGATTTGCCTCAAGCTCACGGAGCTGGAAAAGCTGCAGAACCCCATGATTGGGCTAAAAGGTCCACAAACAATTTGCATCCAGGAAATCAGCAGAAAAATAAGGACACACTAAAATGTTATACAGCAAAAGCTTCTCAGCATTGAATGCATATAAGGTTTGTCTAAGAGGACAGACTTTTTTCCTTCTCTGGACCTTCAGGTAGCTCTTTGCTGTTACACCCATTTGTGAGTAAGCGGAGAAGTATTGATTATTACATGTCAAATGAGAGCTGCCACCAAGTGTGTAATTCATCTACTGAAAGTGTAACTAAAGCCAGCAATCTCTATTCTTGTGGATTAAAAACATGGGCCACAGCAATAAACTATTCAGTTGGGAGTCAGTCTCCCTTCCCTCATTTATTATCAGCTCTCTGTGAACTAATTCAGCATACTCAGTCCTGCTCCACACACAATTAAGCCGTTGCACAGAGCTGTGCAGCTGCTAATGGTTTTCTTCATCCTATGACAGTCACAGGAATCAGAAGGTAAGAAAAAGCTGTTACTGTGCTACTGACTTACATGTAACCTATTTGCCTAGCTCTAAAGTTGAGCATTTAGCACAAGGAACAAGTCTTGTTTTGTCCAGATCTTCTGTTTTTGATGGTAGATGCCCAGCTTTGAGAAAAAGGGAATAATTATTGCTTTCTTCATCTAATGAAAAGCTGTGAAAAATTTATCAGTTATTATCCCATTCTTAGCTGGCAGAAATTATACAGCAGACAATGGGACTCTGTCTAAAAGCTCATTTTGACAATAAATATACAGCAAAACTTGGACTTGATTTCACTACTCATTTCACTTTCTCACTGCTGTGAAACATACCTTATTTCAGAACTTTTCATTTTCTGAAGATAGAACTAAGCCAAAACATGAAATCCCTGGAGACAGGTATGCTCTCAGATCTAGACAAATATCTAAAATTTATGTATTAGCATGAACCTTATTCCAGTCTGGGGCTCACTTCTACTAAACAAACATTGCCGCCAGTCAGATGTGTCTAGAAGCATTTTGCTCCAGAAGAAACAAGAAATGTGACCATCTCCTGGAGCTCTGAGGACCTGAGAAGAAAA